GTGCGGGCCGGGCCGCCATGCCGACCGTCAGCGTGAAGCGGGACCTGCTGTTCCAGGCGCTGGGCAGAACCTACAGTGAGTGTCCGCCGTTCCCGCAATSAATGCTGCGGGAGCGCCCGCTCGCCACCGCTGCCCCGGGCTCCCATCGGCGCGGCGTCCCCGCCGCTGCCCGCTCCGACCGGGGCCGAGCCCTGAGCGCCACGGTGCCGGCGGCCGCGCCCTCCGCTCCGCGTGTGGCGTGTGGCGTGTGGCGTGTCCCGGGGCTGCGCTGCGACCCTTGCACGGGACACCTGTCCCATGGCCCGGGGTGGCACTGGGACCCTCGGGGAAAGCCTGGCTTCAGAGCGCTGCTGGCTCCCCTGCAGCCTGCTCCTCACCGCCCCTCGGCACAGCCAGGTGTTATCCGTTCAGCTCATTGCCCYGACATGCGCTGCTTGAGCCCAAATCTCTCGGGAAATCTCAACCACGCGTCCCCACATCGCGGTTCCTGGTTGGATTTCACTATTTGTTTTAGGATCTGGTTAAATCAAAAAGGGGAGAGAAGAGGTGGGAGCAGGCAAAACGGGCAGTGAATAGCGTGGGTTTAGTCAGGTTTTTTTTCGTGGTTCAGGAGCGCGATTTAAGAAGTGTTCGGCTGAAGGAGCATTCAGGGACACGCRGTGGTTGAGACCAGACAGGAGCTGTGGCTCCTCAGACAGCCGGGRCTGTGTTACTCACATGTTACAGTGCAGTTGATGCAACCTCTGCAGAACAGCCTGCCTGGTTAGARCAGGAGCAGTTGGCAGAAGCTGCCCAGTTATTCCCTGCTGTTTTCTTTATCTGTTCAGGCCAGAGTTGCTCTGACAAACTTGGCTAAGGAGCTGATCTACAAGGCTCAGAAGCCTCACCTGTGACTCCCACTTCCCACATCAATAAATCAAATATGTACCAAAGCAGCTGCTACTCAGATGCAAATATAAGCAAAATTGTTCAAATTAGTTGTACCTGTTTTTTTTCCAAATAGCATTTGTTAGCTTGACTAAAAGCATTCAAACACAAACAAAGAAGTTCGGTGTGAGGCCTGATTATTAACCAAAACTCACCTTCTTCCTTCACAGCGGATGAAGAATTTGATGAGCTTTGCTTTGAGTTTGGTTTGGAGCTTGACGAAATTGTAAGTAAKGTTTTTATTTGTTGCATTTAGAGTATATGTAGCGTRTTGACAACATTTATATTTGGTAAGWGTTTGTATAACATTATTTCCATCATATCCCTGGTACAGTGTTATAATGGACTGTAYTAACACAGGTGTTTTGAATCTGGCAAGAAACCCCTCAGACATACAAAAACTTGTGCCTTGGAAGCAAGAGGCTCCAGGATGGYATATTGCTATACTTTCTGGAGGTCAGCGCTCTGTGCCACTTGATTTTCAGTCTCAGGCCTCATTTTATTTAGCAGTGTGAACACTGCCACAGAACATATATTGGTCGTGTTTTACAAGTTTGCCTTTTTTTCATATGCARTCTCCTGTGCAATATCCCCAAAGATGTATTTGTCCTGGACATTGTTATCAAAATAGTAACTAATTTATATTTAACATTTTGATTTAAATTCTGTACTTATGGAGATTTGCTAGCCCTTATAACTCTTATCCATATAAATCTTGTTCAAGTAGACCTGTTTTGGTTTTGCTTTTTAGTTTTCATTTATTGGCCTTTTAATGACATTTGTYGAAAGACATCTGAACATAACATATGATGTTCAGATGTCTTTTGTTAAAAAGAATAAATTTCAGAATAAATTTGATTATGGCAAGCAATTTGCTGATCTGTTGTTAAAAAGGTCTCMGATCTCTGCTGGGATCTCACAGCCTGGAGGTGCTTGCTTCTATAATCTCTTTCCTTAAAATTAAAATTTTATTACTGAATTTTTCTTTTGGTGCACTGCTTTACAGTTTCTGAATTTGAGAAAAGTTTTATGTAATTTCCCATACTTGGTGTATCCATTTGCTGTATAAATGCAAATTACACTGTWAAACTTCTAATTAACACAGTTTCTCCTATTATATCACTATCATACTCCCATCAATGTTAAAACAGATCAGGTTAAAATCACAATTTTGCTTCATTTCAGACATCTGAAAAGGACATTATAAGTAAAGAAAAAGGTGAAGAAAAGGCAAAGGGTGCCTCTGATGTTGTTCTCTATAAAATTGATGTTCCTGCCAACCGTTATGATCTTCTTTGCCTGGAAGGRTTGGTCCGAGGACTGCAGGTCTTTAAGGAAAGGTAAGGCAGAGTTGTGAGATTTTTGTGCCGTTTGTTATTTGTTGAAATACGGGTCCAGTTCTGGTCAGTAAACAAACTTCCTRTTTGCTTGGGTTTTGATGTCTAGATCAGATTCATCAGATATTTGTCTGGAGAGGATCAACTGCATAACTTTAAAAGACTAGACCAGAACGTTATTGGGTTTTAGATCTGTTCTAAAAAGTTTTCCATTGCTATTCCATTTGAGACTTATCCTCTATAAAAAACTCCTGCAGAGAAACTTCTTGTTATCCTTTGTAATAAATACTAGAACAAATAATTTATTTCACTTTTCTGCAATGGCTTTATCCTGWTGAGTTCTTCCTTTSTAGTTCAGTAATCTATTTACCATCCCATAGAAAACAAGTTTTGAGCAGTTAGCTRTTACATGCCAAGAAATGTTACCAAGRAWGTTTTCTACATATAATTGCTGCTAYGTTTCTAAKATTTCCTGCATTTTGGGAACTATTTTTCTTACAGCTGCAGACTTACTTCTGTTTCTGTTTTAGGATAAATGTCCCTAGGTATGAAAAGATAATTCCAGCTGAGGGTGAACGTCAGAAGCTGATTATCACTGAACAGGTAAAATTGTTTACTGCACCTCTGTAAACATATTGACAGTTGCTGAAACAGCAAGATCCATATCAGTATAATTTTGTAAGAGCAGYGAGACTGGAAATCTTATTTGCAGARCAAGAGCTAAAGAAATTTAAATCTCTCTACTCATTGCAATCTATTCTTAGGAAAGGGGAGGGGGAGGAACAATAGACAAATTATTTTGGGTGAATCTAATACCAAATCAAAACAAAGTTTCCTTTGCTCACTTGAAATTCACATGTTGATGTTGTAAATTGCAGACTGCCCAGATCCGGCCTCAYGCTGTAGCTGCTGTCCTCCGAAATATAACTTTTACCAAGGACCGTTATGACAGTTTCATCGACCTCCAAGAGAAGCTACACCAAAATATTTGCCGGTTAGTGCTTAAATTTAAAGCAGTGCATAGTGTCCGTGTGTATGATTTTATCATGGTAAGATTGCACATCCCTATTGCAGAGGCATTACAATTACTGCAAGGAAAGGCTTCTGTAGCAGCTCTTTTGATCCTTCTCATTTCTTGCCTTTTTCTGTCTGCTGTCAATATTGTTCAACATAAATAGCTCATKCAATATTCCCATTGGATTTGCCTTGACCAATTGTGTTGTTAACACTTACTAAAATATTATTCAGGAAATAATTTCTAGGCTTCTCAAAATTATCCTTCTGCTTTTTCAGTAAGCTCTATAAATGCATGGAAATGTAGAGCATCATATTTTATGAAACTGCAAGTATTACTAGAAAAACATCATTTTGCCTTTTTTCTTTTTAGGAAAAGAGCATTAGTAGCAATAGGTACCCATGACTTGGACACCATTTCAGGTCCATTTACTTTTACAGCCAAAGCACCYTCTGAAATTAAATTTAAGCCCTTGAATCAATCCCAGGAGTACACAGCCTCACAAATTATGGATCTGTATAGGGTAAGTGRGATTTTTCAGACTTGTTGCACTTAATGCAGGAAGGTAAATTTCCAAGGCTAAATGTTTCTCATAACCTTGYTGCTAAAAGTTTTCCTTACAAATAMAAGTTAACTTCTGTAACTTCACAGACAGTGAACATTCCTTATTTTGCTTATTAGTGAGAAAAGTATGGTAATATTTTATTTTTACTGTCTGTGAAAKATACATCATGATATT